AGAAGCCCATTAGTTTTATTCCTGTATCACAAAGCAGGTCATCACATAGGGTAATGTCTTGGTTGTAAAACAGCAAGGGACCGAGGATGGGGTCTTTTAGCTTCAAGTTTTCTTCTCCTTTATTTGGCTAAAGGACACATGGGCTATTGCCAAGGGCACTCTCCTTGACCCCAGAGCTTCAGATCTCCAAGCAGTGCTAGAGGCTTGTTTGATGACACAGATGTGCTCGGAATAGCTGACACGGAAGCTTTGTGTAGGAGGTATTTAATCTTCCCAGCGCTTCCATTTAAGTTTGTAGTTAAGCCATAGATCTCATAAATCTGTGTTCATAGTTGTTCTGTGCAGACTGTAGTCAGAGGGAAAAGGAAGCACTAAGGTGCCCTGCAGCCATCGGTTTCAGCAGCCTCAGGTTTGTAGGACTCTTAGTTTCCTTTAAGTCTCTTTTCGTCAAATGTGTGAGTGCTGGACCTTAACTGACAGCTTGCGTGTAGAAGGTGAATGTGTTTATTGCAACAGATGAAATGGCTATAATGGCACTTCCCTCTCTTATTCTTTTAAAGTCTCTGAGAGGCAAAGAGCCTGGAAGCAAGTCCCAGGGAAAGCAAGGTGTCCCAAGGACATCCTTGCTGTGATGCAGATGTTACAAGAAAGCGTTAACTGCTATAGGTGTAGGTTGGTTTTTGCAAACCGTACCAGAGAACATCAAATCAGGGCGCACTGTAAATGTGAACAAGAACTTGGTGACTATTAATGACCATGGCCTTTTCTTAGCTGTTCGGTGTCTTGGAGCTCTGAAGGATTGCCAGTAAGTACGGAACAAAAATTAAGCGTATTAGCAGAAATACCAGATAAAGGGAGAGACCCACTCCCACTGAGAGCAGAACTCGGAAATGGGAAAACATGAGCATGTTTTATGGTGAATTTTAGAAGAGCTCCTCGCCTCCTATTTCTCCTGCCTGGCCACCGCCTTTTTTCTTCCTCCTTTGATTTCTGTTTCAGCTCAGCTATTGCAGTAAGGATTAAATTGTAGGTTTAGCATCCCTGTTTTAAAATAACTCCCTTACTCTGCTTATGATAATGGCAAAGTAGATTACCGTTGCAGCCGTTACAGATAGAAGACTTATTGTAATGTGCAACAGCAAAGAAGCTGCCCCAGGACTAGGGGAGGTATTAAAGAACTTCTTCATCAGCTTCGTGTTTCCAGCTATTGAGAAGCTGTGCAATAGGTAGCTGGAGACACAGCTGGCTGAGCTCTGCTTTGTTAGGCTGGTGGTCAGACTGGAGCCTGAAATGCTTGCTCCTGCCTCCGGTTGGGACTAGGGGTTTTGCCCTTGAATTTCTAGCACAGAGGGGTGGAGGCACTGAGTGTTTCTGGGGGTAGAACTTCTGGTTTTGGAGAATAAGGAAAGAGAAAGCACACTGCAGCGAGTGCCTCAGGAGGAAAGACCTCCATAAGCTTAGAACTTTGCTTTGGTCTTGTTCTCAGGGCAGGGGGATTTTAGGCAGTATGGACTCAAAGGATCTGTAGGAGCAGCGTAAGTACGGGCTGTTCTGCCGCGTTTCCTCGGCTGGCTTACCTTGGGGCAGCGGTAGCATGGGTGGTGTTTGGTTTAGGCTTGAGTACGAACTGAAATCCTGACATTTTTAAACAGAATACATACTATACAGTAGAAAAGGGATCTAGGGAAATGCTTTTTAAGTTTTAGGCCTCAAAGTAAAGGTGCCATTAAGAAAAGTTGCTGGAGAAATTGCACTCATTCACGTTTTCTACAGTGTCTTAGGAATTCTTTCATAGGCTCTGCTTTGTTTGTATATATGTACAGACATAAGTATGCACTGTCCTTAGTGAATGTACAGTGAATACAGAGGTTATGTTCCCCCTGAGAAGAACTGCCCAATAATAAGAAACCATAAATAAGCATTTTCTGAGGCCAACTGTGAGGTAGTCTTTTAGAAATTGGGCTGTAACTTATGGCTATTTGTCCTCTACTGCAGCTGAAATTTCTATCAGCCTGGTTAGAGCATGTTCAGTATGCATTTCATAAACTGTGCTGGCAGACTTTGGCTTCTCGTTGCAAGTAAAGTTTAAAAATTTTCTTAATTTGATATGTGGATCTTTTGTTTCCTCAGGTGACAGTCCTTAGTTTTATGCATGTAGCAGGAAGGCGTGGAGGTGTGTTGTGATCCAGTCTGATCAAGCCTGGAATTTGTGTCTCCCTTAATTCAGCAATGGCTGAGGTGGTTTATCCTGGATTATATTGTGAAATTATTATTATTTTCTTTTTCTCCCAGGTGCTATAATAGATTTATGTATTGGATGTAGTGTATTCCTTTTTATATTCTGGTCTAGAGGAACTGGGTTTAGTGTCTCCTGCTTGAGGTAGAAATTAAGGATACAATCTGTGGAAGTCAAGGGTACAATAAGATGATATGTAATTGGGGAAGCTGTCCAGACTGCCCTAGCTTCAGATGTAATTTTGCAGCTGGGCTTTCTAAACTGAGCTAATACTTCAAATATGCAGCTAGGTACTGATGGGATTTTCAAGTACTTTTCTACCTTCTCCTTCAGCACCTACATTCTACAGAAACGTGGCCATTAGATTCTTACCCTTCCAAGTAATTTCTTCTAAAAACTCATGGTCATTTTCTTTCATTTTTAAGATGTCATCATTACTTACAACTCCACAAATAATATTTCCAAGAAGATTTGAATTTTTCTCACATTCAGAAAGCTTTCCAGGTTATTCAAGCTGTTAGGTTCCTTGTAGTAAAGCAATTTAGGTTAAATATGCCTTTTGCAAAGGATGTGAATAGCTGAAATTGCAACTGAACTGCAAGTGTAATAGCATGAAAAGAAAGTTAATCTTTTGTTTAACTTCTGTAACTTCTGTATTTGCTACACTAGAAGCTGTCATAACCCCATTTCTTCTGCAGAAGTGGATTATTTACTTGTGATAATAGCCACATAAAATCATTAACATGCTGTCATAAACAGCTGTGTTATAAGTGTTGGTGACATAAATAAAATGTCCAACAAGAAACTGTGATTTACAAATAGAACACAGTTGCCTTTGGGAGAAGGGAAAGGAACACATGTTTCTAAAATAAGTGTTCTTGCATGCATTGTAAATACACTTCTATGATATTACCTATGTTCTATGGCAAAAGTGTCCTCTGTCAAAATGCAGCTTTTGGTCCAAATTCTGATGTGCTTCTTCCAGTAACTGAAATCAGAGCATTAAGACAGATGAAAAACAAGTCAGGGTTTTACTACTCTTCCTGATGTTATTAGACAATACATTTTAGTCTAAGTTCTTATGCTGCTATTGTTACTGTGCCTGAAGTACTCTCCAAGTTGAGGCTTCCAACTCTTGCATTGTCCTTTGTTAAATTTTATCCATTTTTTTGAAGCCACAACTTCTTTGTTTATGTGCTTTGAAGGAAAATCTGGTACCTAGTTACTTCAGTTAGTGAATGAGTGGAACTAAGTACTTGACAAGAAAATTAATTTCTATAAAGAAAATGCCAAGTGGCTGTTTATGCATTATTATTTATACATTCTTAGGAAGCTTTGATTTGAGACCTAAAATAGAAATTAATCTTTTTCTTAGAGCTAAAAGGTTTTTTGAATCTTTTTATCGCATAAATTTTTGTTTTTGTTTGCTCTAATGAGGTAAAAGGATTCATTTGATGATGAAGAAGAAAAAAAGTAATTTTTTGCATTAATATGCAGCTCTTTGAAAACTCTGTTCCCCATGCACTGGTGCTCAGAACAGTGGTGCTGTCGCTGGCATGGGGTTTGGTGGAGGTTGGGGAGCAGCCTTGTCTGTCTGGGAACACCTCAGAGACGCTGCTCCTGGACAAGGTGGGATAGGCAAACCAGTGATGTGTCAGAAACTTGGATTCTGTTATGAGATTTTGGAAACTACTCTGATATTTCTTATTCAGGTATAGTCACTGAGACTTGAGAAGACTGTGTTGTCTAGAAATACAAGTTGTATGTGCTTTGCCCCATTTAGAAATTATTGGAAAATGCTTGATGTAGTAAAGACCACTTTGTTTTGAATTGTGCCCTTTGGTGTAACTTCATCCACATGTTCTCGAGCATTTAAATGATTTTTCTACTCTTCAGCAGGCACCCTGCTCTGAAAGCATCTCCTTGTGCCTTTACACTCTGATTTATCCCCTAACTATAGAAAGTTGATTGGTTACCAAAGTCCCGCACAAGAATTTGGTCCCTGTGTTCTTGCAGCAGGTGGAGACCTCAGGTGTTCAGTGCTGGGGTGGGATTGGTGTGCAGCTTGCAGGGTTGGCACTCTCTACACCTCCCCTGCCTCTTCTCTATACAAGGGATGTGCTCATATGGTTTTTCTCTTGCTTCCTGCTGGAGAGAAGTGGCCAGACTGGTTGACAGTGAGGAGAACACTGTTCTGGTGAGGTGGAAGATGGTCCAGAACCTTAAGGTTCTGACACTGTTTCTGATAGATGGTCAGATGGCGGCCATGCATGCTTTCCTCTCACTTGTTTGCTAACAACAAACAAAGAAAGGCCCAATGCTGTGTTTGTGCTAGACACACTGAAATGCATTTCAGTGCATGTGGCCAGAGTAGGTCCTGTAATCCATTAAATTTTCCAGATAAACCCCAAGAAATACGGTGGTTTTATGCTAATCTCCACCTCATGTGTATACAGTTGTACAGATTTTTAGCTTTTCTCTATCTCCATGTTTGGCATGTGAAAGATCTGTTTATCTACAGATACTGGTTTTGTAGTGATGGGACAAAAATATAATTTATGCTTTCTGTGTGTGTGTGTGTTAACGATTTGCAGAGAAACATAGCTTAATTTCTTACAGTGTTTGCCAGCCGTATCTATGGTGCCTCTGGGCATTGTATGGCAGCATCTTATATTGAATTTCTGTAGCTAATATAGTATGTTTCTTCCTCCATAGAAATGTATAACCAATATTTACTCCTTGTTTTATCGTTTTGCTGTTTCAGGTTCACAGATTAATACTTTTACATCATTGAGGTTCTTGACTGAGCCTTCAGATGCTGTCACCATGCGTGGAAGCAATGTGCTGTTGAACTGCCTAGCAGAGTCGGATCAAGGAGCTCCGGTTATTAAATGGAAGAAAGACGCAGTCTTCTTAAACCTGGCAGTTGATGAACGGAGGCAGCAGCTGGCCAACGGATCACTCTTGATACAAAACATAGTCCACTCCAGGCACCACAAGCCAGATGAAGGTCTCTACCAGTGTGAAGCATCTCTAGAAGGCATTGGAGCTATCATCAGTCGGACGGCGAAGGTCATGGTAGCAGGTAGGGAGAAACATTCTTACCTTTTGGACTGCTGGAAATACTCTTTGTGAGAAGCTTTTAAAAAATAAGAGCAGAAAATGTACATAAAAGCACTTCAAGTGCTGTGGGTTTTCTCTTTTTCCCCTCTTCAAAAGAAGTAAAGCTAGATAAGACGCTTCTGCGACAGTAATTTATTTCTGACAAGGTATTATTCTTGTTTAAATATGTCTAATCACCTCTTTGTTGCTTTGAGCTATCTGCTGCATATTTATTGTCTTCAAAATAGATGAAACCTCTGAAGCTGGAAATTAACTGCTTTTTCTGATGAATTGAAGATCACCAAAAAAAAAAAAAAAAAGCCAAACTTCCGTAGGGCACTGAGTGTACAAATTTTCATGGTTTAGGAACTTTTTCATAGGCAGGAACTCATTATGCAGCTTGCTGGAATTGGCAGCCTCTTTGTATTTCCTTTAAAGCACTTCTGTAGGTACACGGCAGAAATAACAGAAGTCTGTTACCAGGGATCCAAGAACACTTACGGTTTCTCATTGACTTAACAGATACATTTGTGAAAGGTGTTTGAAGATTTAAAGGGGTCTTTTGCCTCTTCATCAGCCTGTAGAAGCATGTAGCAGGTTCTTAATAATCTAATTATTGGGAAAAAAATAGGTTTGGAGATCGTTCAAATAAAATCTACAAAGGAACCCAAAATCACGTAGTAACTGATACCAACTTGAATGTGCTAAAGGTCAGAATAATTTTCTTTATGAACATTACTTAAGAATTTTATTAATTCTAAGGGGGTGCTTTTTATTCTACTCTCTGTATGGATGGAGCTACTGTGTATTGCTGATCTCCCTGATTTAGGTCTGTTAAAGAATACCCTGGCTGCCTTGCCTTGACAGGGGTTGAACAGCCATCCACAGGTGTTAACTTAGTAACCTTGGGAAAAGAGATTAAAATATTCTTTTATGCCAGGGAGATGATTGACACTTACAGCCTTTAGTGCACAGGTGAGCTATGAGTTCATTCGGGTGCATTGGTTATGTGAAGGAGCAGCTTGTGCTGCTTACATGAGGAAAAGTTAAAAGTCCATCTGTGTTGAAGCTTTCAGTCTTACCTTGCTGAGCTCACACAGCCCACTGCGGGAGATGCACTCTTCTTCAGGTCTCCAGGCACCTAGTCTGTGCACTACCTAGTCTGGCTGTCCTGCCACATTTTGAACAACATGGGGATGTAAAGTAAAATTGAAATTCAATTCAGTCCAGTTCTACAACTTTTTTCCATCCTGTCTTCCTAAACTCTAACCAGTTGTACTAGGAGGGAGTCCAGGCAGCTTGCTTCCTAGATGGTCTCTCCAGTGTCCTTCATGAACTTGGTGCCTTTTCCAGTGTTAAGACCCTTCAAACTGAAGATCAATTCACCTTCTCCAAATCTTTTTCTACCAGCTAAAAAAGGCATATTTTCTTATGGTATATGTGTGTCATGGTTTAGGCCCAGAGGGTAACTGAGCCCCACTCAGCTCTTCACTCACTCCATCCCCCATCAGAAATGGTGGGGGGAAGAATATGGAGCAGGAATGACTCAAGGAATCCATCTGAGGACTGGGAGGAGTCACTCACCCATTATGGTCACAGGCAGGAGACAGACTCGTTAGGGGAAGTAAAAAGAAACATCACTAACTCAAACACTAACAAGACAGCACTTAACAGACAAGGTGGGACAGTGGGAAGCGCCACCACATCCCAAACCCCCTTCCCCCCCTCACCCCTCCCTCCTCCCCGGGCTCAGCTCTGCTCCCCATCTCTCCCCCTCCTCCCCCAGCGGCGCAGGGGGCAGGGGATGGGGGTCACAGTCAGCTCCTGCTCCTTCCTGCTCGGGAGCTGGGGGGAACGCTGCACAGCCCTCCCCTGCTCCCCAGGGCTCCCCTCTCACTGCAGACAGTTCTCCACCAACCTCCTCCGGCGGGAGTCCCTCCCCACGGGCCGCAGCCGTTCCTGAGCTGCTCCGCCGTGGGTCCCCCCGCGTGTTCCAGCCCTCCCAGCACCGAACCACCACAGTGGGGGCCGCTTCTTCCCTCAGAGTCCTGGCCTCCTTTAAGCGCAGCCGCCTGTCCCGGGGTGCAGGTTGGCTTCCACTCCACCGGTGACCTCCCTGGGTGGCGGGGGGTGGCCCTGCCATCTCCCCATGGGATACAGGGGGCTCTGCTCCAGCGCACCCCCTTCCTCCTCATCCCTTCTTCTGACCTGGGCATCCGTCCTTCTCTCAACTTCCCCTCACAAGTCCCCTCACCCATCCCAGGTTCCCCTTCTTAAATATGTTATCACAGAGGTGCAGCTGACTGGCTCAGCCCTGGCCAGAGGTGGGTCCAGCTTGGAGCTGGGGGAGCTTCGGGAAACTTCTCACAGGGGGGAACTGCTGGAGCCCCCTCCCCTGCTACCAAAAACCCCACCAAAGAAGCCCAGCACACTGAGTAAATGGGTAATAAGATACTTGGCTCTTTCATAATTTACCTCCTCCCCACCGCTCTTCTGTCTGAATTTCTGGTAACATAACCTCACATCCTCAGTAGTGTATGTAATTCTGTGTTATGTTTCCTACCCAAAGCAATGGAGAGCCCCACAGATGCAAAGAAATTGGTCACTCTCCTATCAAGTCACCCTCAGAGGTAGCCCACAAAGCTGCACTTTGTCAAGTACGGCTTTTTTCCAGTTTGTTATTTGGCCTTGATCTTGGTTGTTGGCAATCACTAACTAATAAAATCACTCCAATGATTCTTTTTAGGTGAATGCACATACGTGAGTGTTCCCTGTTGTGCTGTGCCCAGCTCTAATTTTGAGCTTTTCATAGGAAGAACTGCACTTTGCATGGTAGGCCCTGCTCTGGTATCCCTGCAGAGACGGTGGGGGGACCTACTGTGTTCAAGAACGATCTGGCTGAAACTGGAAGAGCTGATAAAGATTTCTTAATTGGAAAGACAGTGAAAAGGACGAAAGGCAATGCACACAAACTGAAATACTGAATACTAAACATAAACATTTTTCTTACAACGGTAATCACACCATGAAATGGGTTGCCCAGGCGTGCTGTGGAGTCTCCACCTTGGAGATATTCAAGCCCCAGCTGGATGTAACCCAGCACAACCTGCTGGTAACTGCCCCTGCTTTCTGCAGGCCACCAGACTAGACAGTCACCATAGGTGCCTTCTGACCTTGGTCACTCTGATTCTTTCCCGATTGCGTGAAAAGATTTCATATTATAAGGTGAAATACAAGATGTACAGCATTTAAAATTGGCAACAAGTTCTTCAAGTAGAAAGTGGTATTTTGCGCTCTGAAGGACATGTATTCCTGAATGAGCAGAATTTCTGTGGTATTTTTTTTATGGTGTTTTATTTTTTTTTTTTTTTTTTTTGAGGGAATGACTGTGAAATGTTGGCAGAACATCACTGACTTAAGGCACTGGCAGATGGAAACACGACAGAGTAAGGGAGAGAGGGCAAAAGGAGAAATGAAGGTCTCACACTTCAGTATGTTGTGTTAATCATTGCTTGGCAAAGCAAATAAGATGCCTATGTTCAGAAAAGCCTCCTTTTACGGAGATGAGGATTGGGATAGGATAGTAAACACTTGAAAAGTGAATCTTTCTGATCTGTTGTATGATGTACAAGGTGTTGCTGCTAAACAGACTTTTTCTGGACAGCTTGATGCTCTCATCCAAAGGAGATGATGATGGTACGTGTGATTGCAGTGTCCTGATGAGTGGAAGATGGTGTTTGTGTCAACAGTGCATATCCTCATTTCACTTAGTCTCCCATTTCTGTGCAAGATTTCATTCTTTTAAAGGAAGGATCATGAGCTTTAATATTTCAGGCAGGTTTTAGGAATAGATTCATTCACTGAATTACAATCTAATCTTGGGTAGTGTCATTTTAAACTATAGGTCTGTTCACAGCATTTTAAGTACTTACTGTGCTGTTTGGCAACATAGAATACATCAACATTTATGTCTTTGGAGGTTAAAATTGCCAAACCACTGGTATGCATAAGGGACATATATCTTTCTTGCAGCAAAGACTCTGAACGTGATTTCACCACACTTTTTAAAGCATTAACAGTCAATAAAGCAGTCACTGCTAAAAGGTAAGTCAACTCTGCATGGAACAGACTGCTCAGGGGTACTGAAAGTATATTGCCCTTTTAAAACCCTTCCCCTTATACTTTCATGGCTTAAAGTGCTTTCAATAAAGAAAATGTAGCAAATGAAAACTGGTTTTAATCAGTTGAGAATTTTATGCATGAAGCCTGCCATGTATGGGAAAATACACCGTTTCTAAGAACTTCTCAAGGGTCTTTACAGTCTTGACGTGCTCCAGCTGTAAAAGTGTTCCAGGCTGAAAGGGAAATGAGAGCACTGGAGAGAAACCAAGAGCCGCTTCCTTCTCTAGCAACCTACTAAAACTCCCTATTTAACAGACTACTGATTATTGGTATTTCTAGTAATTGGTAGGATTTCAGATAGAAACCACACTACCTTGTCTTATGTCTCTGCAGACTGTTGCAGGAACAGGCCTTCAAAGGTTCTGGCGTTACTGTCAGTCTGAAACCTTAGTCTTTCAGCGGATGATAAAAAGCGGAATCCAAGGTTACTTTATAGTGAAATTCCTGCACTATCGTCATCCAGCCCTTTGGTGAAGACCTGCTCTCTGGCATGATGAGAGAAGACTCTTTTGTGTGTGGTTGTGATGATTTAGAACTAGAAAATGATTTATGCTGAAAATTATAATAATTTTTTTATTGTTAAAAAAAAAACAGCTACAAAACAAACACCCCTCCACCCCCTGCACCCCTCCCCCAAAACAACAAAAAACCTGAATCAAACAATAGATAAGGTACATCACAGCTATAGATCCCTTTAGACCAATGTCCTGGCTTTGGTAATCACCAGTAGTAGATGTCTACAGGCTATATGAACAGTGTATATCCATAAAGCTCACCTGAATACTCTGTCAGTCATCAGTG